ATATTACACTGGTCAGAAGTTCACCCACAAGCAAAGTGGGACTCCTGTAGTGTCCACTAAGTTTGTGACAAATGTCTCTTTTGCCAAGTTACACAAGAAAGTGAAGAGATGAATAAATGTACAGTTTCATATGAATTGAGTCCTTGTAGAAAAGGGCATCAAAAACATAACGTGTATAAAGATGCAGCCCTCTTTTTTTTAAATGACTCAACACTTATGAGGCCACATTCTCAGTTAAGTGGGTGATGATGACCCCTGTAGACCCCCACCCACAGGAAAGAAAAGGATACCTGATTGTGTATCTGTGCATTGTTAGTAAGATGTGACAGGTCATCAGCAGCTTCATTCAGTGCTGCACAGACACTGCAACCTATAGTGTTGATCTGAGGAAAATGCACAGGAGTAGAGGTAGTGAGGTCGACAGCAGGGATCGGTCGAGAACAATGTAACCCCCTCATCACCCTCTTTGACATGAACCTGTCTCAGCTGAGCTCTGGAGGCTGATCCGAGCTCATACATTGTCAAAGAGGACAACATCAGTCAACAAGTGCAAAGCCAGTAACAATGCTGCTGTGCACCAGCCACAGTCAGTGAGCGTTGCAGAGATGCCTCTGGATACACACTCACACACACACACACACATACACTCACACAGAGCTGGATCCTAACATGCAAACACACTCATCTGAATCCTCGTCAGATAACAGTGGCTGATGATACCTGTGTGTGTGTGCGGGGCTGTCGGATCCATCTCCAGAGTTACACATAGGACCTGCAGCTTTGGGCCATTCCACACTCAGCTCCTCGTCCACCGTCGGCAGCATCCGTGGCAAACACACGAAACACAGGGAAGCACAATGACGGGATGGCACCGAGAAAGGTAGTTCCATCCCGGGCTTGTGCCTGCCTCACTGCCCGCTGAGGTGCGCCGAGGCTCTGCCGGGAGGAAGGGGCGGATCAGCCCAGTGCACATCACAGCAGCTCAGTGCAGCCAGACGGAGACAGAGCAGCTTTGTACCAGCAGAGATCCAGATCATCAGGGTACAGAGCCTCGGGACAGCGAGGAGAGAGGAGGGGAAAGGAGGTTATGTTTTCATGTCAGCAAAAAATACACAAACTTGGAGTCAGGATGCAGCATGGCTCAGAGAACCAATCAGAGATCCAGGATTCGTTTAATCTTTATTTTTAATTTGTTATCCTTATTTAACTTTGTGAGATGTGGAGATATAATTTCCCAAGAAATAATTCATGGACATACTTAGGACATTAGTGTCTAAGTATATTCAATGAGGTGCTGCTTGATGAGTGTACTACTGGGCGATGGTGGAGATATGAACTTTACTGAGAGCCATTCTAATTTATATATCAGTCGTTGACTTTCGTTTCCAGTCTTACACTACAAATCACATTCACCCATTCAGAGAGACATTTTAATAAGTGGCTCTTTTCCATCTTACATCATTTACACTCAGACAGAACAGTCGACAAGGGCGATTCAGGGTTCTTGCCCAGATAAAGATCACTTCGGCAATGTGGACGGGAGAAGCCATCAAGACATCAAACCACCAACCTTTTGGTTAGTAGACGACTTGCTCCACCTCCTGTGCTACAGCCACAGTTTTGCATGGCAAACTGTGGGTGAACATTAACTAAAGTTCCGTCCTTTATCTGCATGATTTTATATATTCAACTGCTAGCACACAATGGGCTGATTGGATTGTAGCATGGATAAGCAGGTTTAAAGGGGTTCCTGATAAGGTGCTTGGTGAGAGGAGATTCACATCGCAAAGTCTTGAGCCTGTAAGAAGCAGGATTCGTGGTTATCTGGCTAAAGTCAGGTTTACTTCAGGGTTTTCAGTTCTATAAAGGTTGTTCCCTTCTTATTAGGGTAAATCACTTTGGTAACTTGTACTGAACTGCTAACCTGCTCTGGAGCTGGTTTAGTTGGAGATAAGTGATCTGTATATAAGCACCATTCTCATCGGAGGGAACGACAAACCTTTGTCAGCTGCTGGAGCCAAACATAACCAACCTGACACGTAGGAGCAAAGTGCTCACAGTACCACAGACTGCCTGCAAGTTTCTATATACGCTTGTGGGAGTTACTGATGTTGATCGGTTAGCGGCAAATAACCAGACATAGTCTTATACTTTTATCCTTCCCTTTAGGTAGGTTTGTCCTAAATCGAAGATCTATTTGGAATGGGGGATAGAGAGTTTACAGTTTTACCTTTTGACAGCCCTCATCCCTCTCTCTCCCTGAGACAGTCAGCTCTCATCACAATGACACTATACTGTTGCATGGTACACACTCTCCTCAAATGGAAGGATAAGGAAAGTTTAAATCAATGTTTGGTTGGTTAAGTCAATCCCCACTGCGAATACTTCCAGTATATCTCAGTCCCTCCCTGTTTGCAGATGCACCAGGCGCATCCTGTCAACGAGATTCCAAATGTGCACAGTCATGTTCCGTGCACCATGGTGCATGAAAATAGGTCCATGTTTTTATTGATTAGTAATTGCAAAAGTTTTCACCACAGTGTGGCCTCAGAGTCAGTGCAGCCCAGTGTGTGTCAAACTAAATCCCATTATAGAGGCAACATCATGTGATTAAGTGAAACATTTATTCTCTCATCCAAGAGGCTTCTTCAGTTCAGTTCACCAGGTCCCGTTAGTAAAGAACAGATACATATCTAGTGGCCCCGGGTTATTTGTTCCCACACTTTATGTCATGGCCACATAATATATTTTATACCACCAGTTTGTGAAATATGCGAATATTGTCAATGTTGGTATAATCATATGGTGAAATCACCGCCCCTTTTATGTACACACGCTCATATCTAGAGTAGGAAAGCCTTGATTGACCTAACAAGTTGATAACCAGCGTTGTGTGACTGCTGAGCCTGACTGTGTTTGTTAGGTTCAGTTCAGCCGGATGACAGAGAGATATCCGTGTTGCGTTGCTTCGTAGTACAGGCCCCTGATGTTGGCACATGTATTCATGTCAATATGATGTCCACGAATCCCCCTTGGATTTGTATTTGACAGAATGGACATGGATAAAGTGTTAATTTTTAACTCTATCATATATGCTGCACCTTAGCCTAAGTCCCATTTCTCATTTTTCAAGATCTTGCCTAAGTGTTTAAAGGCACTGGTTTGATGTTGCCGATGGAGGCAAGACTAGATTTTAAAGGTACAGTGAATGCTTTGGTATTACAGGGATATGGTTAAGTTCTCTAAGAGATTGTTATTATATGGATGATTTCATGTAATGCTGTGTGAAACTGTCTCCTAATGCCTTGTTGCCTTGGAACAAGTGCTGAATGCAGGGAAGTTTGGCAACAATGACTTTTTTCAGTCACTACTGTCTGATGTAGTGTTTTCCTGTTTTGTTTGGTGGAATCAAAGGAGATAGTGAGTCATGTGCAGACAAGAGACTCAGTGTAGATCTGGATCAATAGCTCATGAGGTAGGTGTAACTTCCTGTGCTGGCTCAAGAAGAGAAAAGGAGCTGCCCTACTCCCTGTGTTAAGACTAGGAAGTAGGGCAGCTACTCCTGAAGTCCAGTCATCTCCTCCGTTTTCAGGATGTTCAGCTCAAAAGGGCAAACTGTTGATGATAATCAGAACATAATTATGATCTGCAAACAATGCAAACAATGCTCTAAATGTTAGGACACAATAAAATGTTATAAATATAATTTACAGAAAACAGTGCAGTGGCAGTTGTTCACATAGATGGACTTATGGTGTATGAATTGAGGGGCATGGCTGCAAGAAGAAAAAACAAGATTCATGGACATAGTATGTCTTATATTATTAGCTTATTTTTAACAAACATCTGGGTAAATTGCATTTATATTTGAGAAGGAACAATGTTGTCAGACCACAGCAAATAACCCTAACATCCTTCTCTCTGGTTTCAAGATATCTTGAGGAGGTTCTCACTTAAAGGTACAGTGTGTAGAATTAGAAATTGTGATATCTAGTGATGGAACTGCATGTTGCAGCTGAACACCCCTCACCTCACCCTCTCCTTCCAAGCATGAAAAAGAACCTGTGATAGCATCAGTTGTCATAAAAACTCAAAAGGTGTTTAGTTTGTCCAGTCTGGACTAATATAAAAAACATGTCGGCCTCTGTAGAGAGGATCCCCTCAATGTAAATATAAAGTATTTAAATATAAAGGGCCTTTTCTGGGGTAAATAAAACTACAATTCATACAATTTAGATGAAACCAACTAGTGAAAACTTTGTGAGGATTATTCTACATTAAATTTCTGCCAAAAGATCCCTTTCACCTAAATCTTACAACTGGACCTTTAATTGTGTTGGTCACATCATTGATTAGAATTGAGGAGATGGCTACACCATAGTTGATCTGGTTTTATTTGGATTGTTTGTTTCTAGCTGCAGTTTGACAGGGCACATAAGAACACCATACCAAATAATTCATTTCATGCTAGTCACATCATTCCTCTCAGCGGTGGATCTCCACTTCATTATCAGGTGGTCGTGTATCTTATAGGAAAATTTCTGCACCTTCAAAACCTTCGAAAGATCAAATCAGGTGACAGGATGCAATCTAAAGGCAGGCGTGTGGTGAGTCAGTGTATGCTCAGGGGTCCCAAGAAGCTTCCTCCACGTACCCTCTACTCAGTGCAGGAATGAATCTGAGTCTTCAGTCAGAGAATTTCTAACCTCAGGCAATATGAATTATTGATGTGAAAAAACTTTATACTCCTTTAAATGAAAGCTCAGCGGATTCGAATTTTATTCATCAACTCCCAAATTAGTGGTGAAGCTCAACAGATGAATTCCTTTCCTTTTGCCAAAACAGTTATTCTCAGTGTTGTACGATAAAGAAAGACATTTTATCTAATTTTATCTAATTGCACAGTGCAGATCTCTGTGTCCACCGTGAATACAAGAAATTCAGTTGTGAGAAGAGGGTAATCTCCTGCAAATCTGTCAGTGTGTGCAGATACAAACAAGTACAAATTCATTGATTTTATTTACGTAAAAAGGCACATTTAGAGGACACACAGTACAGAGAAGGATGCTCTTTCCACCCAAATACAATGATGTTAAGCCTACAGTATGAGTAACTTCCATTTCTATCAGTGTCCAACTGCCTGAAGCAGTAGAAAATACATTATTTTTCTTTTGATCAAATCCCAAGGTAGTGTAAGCAAGGATGTAGATTCATCAGCAGTGAAAAGGTGATGATGGCATTGTTCACACCTGGTATTAACAGGTGAACCCTAGTGATCAGATCACACTTCCCTGATCTTCACATACATCATTTCAGTTCACAAAGACCAAATTATGTTTTCAGCTCATGTTCAATATGAATCTGTAGCAGGTCAGAGGACGTCAGCTGAGCAGGTTGACCTTCAGTGAGGCCCAGGACACATTTGTGTTAACATTGATAAAAAAATGGGGCCAAAGGTATGGGTCACTGGGCCCAATGTGTTCCACTCCACAATGTGTTTGAGTGATTGGCTCTCAAACGCAGCCTCAACAGGTCTTGGGTCTTTTTACATCTGAACTTAAAGCTGACCATGTGATCTGATCACCAGAGACAGATGTTAATACCAGGTCTAAACAGGGGCGATGATGCAAAGAAGAGCTATAAAAGAAGGGTGTATCAAAAGACAGTGTTTAGATATGAAAGTGATAAACTGATTTCACAACTACAACTAAAAGAAAACTGTTCACATGGTAATTTCAATTCAGCTTCTATTGTTTTCAGTGAGCTTGGTATTTGCCCCTTCTCAAGTGATGAGAATTGTGCAACTGTAACAAGCGCTCATACGTGTGTACATCTTTCTCATTATTTAATCTCACATTCCGAAACAAATCTAAAAGCACCTAGTATAATTACATTGTGGTTATGACTCTGTCCTGAGCCCCTCTAAAAATAGTCTTCCTTTTTAGTTTGCTTTGGCAGTTGCTGCCAATGCTGTAACAACTTTACCTATCCCCAGCTTTAAGGTGGCACTTTGGCTGAAGAGCTCAGCTTATGTTACAATAGACAGAAAAATGGTATCTTTGCTTATTGTTAGGCCTAATATCAGTGAAGTTATACAAGTGGATTTTGGGATGGCAAGCATGTGAATTATTATTATTATACTTCATGGAAATAACATTAACAATTAAGATTACATAAAAGATTTATGGCTAGCATTAGATACATCACAACAACTCTACCTTGCTCATTAACAGTCTCAGCGTGACTTATTGTCATGTAAGCCAATTAAATATTATAATGCTACAGTAAGACTTTTAACCTCAGGCATGTGTGCAGTCAATAAAGCCACTATTCCCCTATTTCCAAAACTCACCACATCTAAACTTATCAATCACCTATTTTGGAAAAAGCAGTTTTTACTGAAAGGTGGCAAGTTTGCATCCCTGCCTCTATAATACGTGGTCAGAATGTGTTTTTTCTTAATGAATACAGACAGCTCCACAGTTATGGCAGGCAAATATTTTGCAGTAAAAAAAGCAAGAACCTATATGAATGTGTACGTGATACTATGACTTTCTAAGTAACAGATATCTAAAACATGATGACATCATTTAACCCATCAGACCAGTCTAGTTGTGTCCCAGTTGCACAGTATATACTGATTGTAAATGGCTTTCATGCATTACTTTGTAAAATGGACTCAGTTAAGTATGTATAGAAAGAGAAACACAGACCGAACTTGCTCGACTTTAGAGTGAGGTGTTGTAACTAACAGGGCAAATTGTGTAACAAGTGAGGAAGCCTTCAGTCAAAGGATCATTACAAGTAAGGCTACATGTTCAACCAACCGTTTCATACAGAAGTAGTACCACAGGTGTCAAGATTTGTACTGCATCAAATGCTTTAAAAACAATGAACTATTTTTAGCACAATCGCTTGATAGTGATCCAATGCTTTCATAGGTTTCTACGGGAACTGTCTTAGGGCTCCTGAACCCCATGTTCCATGGTAATTGATTGATGGTCATTAAAGATATATGGGAATATACACCACTGAGGCATAACATCAACTGACATAAAGGCCTTATCAGATCTCAAGGCCCTGTGTCACAGTCTACTTTTAATATCCTTGTCATTTCTAAGTTTGCATGTTGCATATTCCCAGAATCCTTTATCTTAATTTGTACTAATCGAATTAGTAGAGTACATTATTACATAAAGTTAGCATATGAATAAAGCATATGGACACCATTGATTCATAGCATGGGGGGTGAATTATGGGTTAGCAGGTGCCCTGTTGCTTAAACATAATTAAATGTTTAAGTGGTAGTTTTTAGCAAGGAAAACAATGATTTACAGCTTGTAATACATTTTTAAAAAAAGCTGGACCTTAGATTGATGACACTGGCAACAGATCAGAAAGCAGCAATTTAGTTACAAAAAAAATCTCTTCAGGTCTCCTGAGTCTTGTCAGGATAAGATACAAGGTTAATACCTTGTATCATTTCTGGTTATCACAAAACAGCATACTAGTTTCTTGTGTGCTTATTGAAAAAAATAGTATATTAACAACTTTAGTACTAAGTTGAATTAACTGTGTTAAAATATACAGTGAGACTACCTTTAGTAGTAGTATCCAAGACCCAATCATATTAACATCAGGTCTACATTATATTATTTAATCTAATGGGGTCAGGTAGGGTCATGTTTTTCTACATGTCACAGGTCAAAACGTTGGAAGTCTCTCTCTCTGGGTATCTTCTTTAAAAATGATTTCAGGCAAAGAAGGTATTTTTTGAAAGAACTTTGGGTCTGTAGTTCATATACAATTGGGACACAGTCTATGTAATAGTCTACAATAATGTTAAGCATTTCTAAACAAAATAAGAAAACAAAATATGGCCACATTTTCAGTTAAGGTTGTTGACATTAATATTACGTGTAAAAATCTCTCAGGGACATGAATAAACGATCAGTTAATAATTAAGTTTCTCTACCTTCTGAGTTTGCATCAAAACTCAGGTCACGTGCTGGAATGTCAATAAACATCTGTTGGCACAAACATTAATGACTTTAAATATGCATTTGGCTTTTCCCAGGACAGATGGGAGACTGATGGGGAGAGACGAGGATCCTCGCTGTCCCATCAGCTGGCTGTCCCAACGGGACTTTATCTATTTTCCAGTTTGTGACGAATACTGGAATCGTTCAGCCTCACACAGTCCTGGGTGGCAGCTGCTGTTTGTAGATTCCAGCTAGAGCTTTAGCAGCACTATGGATCATCTGGCGTTGGGTCATACCCGTCATAGCCTGATGCCAGTCTGTTTTGTTGATGTTGGGCAGGCTGCGCTCCAGGACCTCACCCACAGGAACAATCAAACCTGACCAGCGCAGGCTGTAGTCAGGAGGGGTCAGGGACTGAGCCTGCACAAGAAGAGTTAAAAAAATGATGAGTTGCTGGAGGTTTCTGATTAAGTGATACTGAGTCGATTTCTGAAGCTCACATTGGGAACCATAGTAAACCAAGTGTACACTGTATACACACACCGACAGCTTTATGAAGGACAACAGCAGAGCTTTGTTTGCACATAAAAGTGTTTATACCAACTCCTTTTTGACCCACTATCCAGAAATGAAGCTTACATATCAAGAATGTGAAAGCTGTCATCTTGCACCAAAGAGAGAGAGTCACAATCAGGGATGGATCTGACGTATATAGTTTCCACCGATACATGCACTTATTAAATGGCGAGTCAGTCTCAGCTGTCAAACACCCTAATTTATAGCATCGAATAACTACCTAAAACCAAACTTACTTAAAGGGATTGCTCAACAAAAAATGAAAATGTACTCAATATTTAATCACCACCATACCGATGTTTGAGTCCAGAAAACACTTTAGGAATCTCAGGGGTAAACAGTGTTGCAGACATCCAACACGATTGAAGTACCGGTGATCTATTTTTCAACAGAAACAAAACATAAAATGCCTCCATAATGCTTGTTTGGTGTCGTCTAAATGTCCAGAAGAACAGACATTCTTTTTAGACTAGAAATTCCTTCATTTACACCGTGTTTTAAGCGTTAAAGTCCGCACCCGGAAGTGGCATTGCTAGCGGATGTAGCAATGCTAACACGCACCCCGCGCGTGCCCATGAGAGCTTGTGTGCAGTGTGTGCACATTGCGCACACAAATGTTACGAAGGTGTAAATGACACCGCTTCAGGTCAAATTTGAATGTCGGGGCATTGTCCCTTTCCTTAACATTGAGGAGGTGGGGTTCATGACCTACACTGCAACCAGCCCTCATTGGGCAATAGCGACCCTTTCGCTTCACTTTTGGGAAACTGCAATGTCGTCCATCTTTATATACAGTGTATGGTTAATACTGAAAAGATTATGTTCCATTTTTTCCAAAATAATGTTCCATAGTACTCGGTAGTACATGTGAACATGTCATCTGCTGTTTAATACCTGTTGGATATGATCTAGAGCCAAAGGAGTTGCCTGAGTGAAGACCTCAATGTGGATGCTGTAACTGGGGTCCTCCAGGATCAAACAGCCGATATCAAACCACCTGGAGATTTAAAAGAAAGGGATTATGTAGGAATTGTTAACAATGACTCCTTCATGCACACAAAAGTTAGTTATGGAGTTCCACAAGGTTCTGTACTAGGACAGATACTTTCCAGTTTATATACGCTGTCGGCAACAGTATGATAGAGCCTGACATACATTTCCATTATTACGCAGATGACACCCAGCTGTACTTATCAATGAAGACCGATCTATAGTTCTAATAACTGAAGCAATAGATAGTACATAATAATAATACACAGTCACCTTAGATGTCATTAGCTTGGCCACAAGCTCTACTGTGAGGAACACTGGAGTTTTATTTGACCCACATAAAACAAGCAGCTTACTTTAGTCTGTACAATATCAGGAAAATTAGAAGCAGCCAGTCTCAGAAGGATGCTGAGAAACTAGTCCATGCATTTGTTACCTCTAGACTAGATTACTGTAACTCTTTATTATCAGGATGTCCCAGTAAATCTGTGAAAACTCTCCAGTTAGTACACAATGGTGCAGCAGTGCTGACAGGAACGAGAAGGAGAGATCATATTACTCCTGGCTTCTCTACATTGGCTCCCTGTAAAATTCAGAATAGAATTTAAGATCCTGCTTCTCACATACAAGGCCTTTAACAATAAAGCCCCATTATGAGCTCATAACACTGTATTATCCAAACAGATCACTTTGCTCCCAAAACACAGGCTCTCTTGTGGTTCTAAGAGTCTGTAAGAGAATCAGACATAGAGCCTTCAGCTACCAGGCTCCTTTCCTGTGGAACCAGCTCCTAGTTTCGGTTTGGGAGGCAGACACCATTTCAAAATTTAAGGTTTGAGTTAAAAAGTTACACTTGTGTTCCTAGTCTGTCTCCCACTCTCTACCTCTCTCTCTCTCTCTTCTCTCCCCTCTTTTCCAATCACCTCTCCACTCACCCAACTGGTCGAGGCAGATAGCTTAGGGATTTTTACTCCCTGCAGTCGTCAATGCTGCACTTTGTGGGAACTGGTGGGTTTAGGTTTTAAGGTTTTGACCTTACTATGCAATGTGCCTTGAGATAATGTATGTTGTGATAAGTACTATACCAATATAATAAACATCTATGCATTACATGAAAGCTTTTATTAGTATATATTCATGGTCAATTCAGATACGGCTAGATAGAAAATACTTTATTAATTATTAGCTCATTAAATATTTTATTAAACCTATGTCAGTAATAACTGTAAATATATCAATAAAGTCCACAATCTGTGCCCACTTTAAATGGAGAAATTTAGCGTGTCACTTTTGCTGATCTATCACTAACAATTTTGCCCGAAAAGATCTAATAATCACCAGCTTACTATAGAAATGTGATCCCTCACCTACACCAAATATAGGTTGTGCCAACAAGGACGCCAGAAAGAAATATTTGACCAGCAGGCTCACTACGCCAGTGTTTCTCACACTCTTCAACACGTGACAACTCTTAGAACAACAGTTGCATGATTGCTGCCAATTGAGCAATACTACATTAGCAGCAATTACTACAATTATCTTAGATCTATATTGTTCTGTTATGGTAATAGATGCAGCAAGCACCCTATTGTTA